GGGGGATCAGAAAGTTAATGTTTTACTTGGTGTACAGATGCAACTAACAGTTCCCAGATACAAAGTCAAGCAATTATTCGAACACACCTACATTTAAAGATATGTGTTCCCCTAATTTTTTAAGCCTCTAAATTGAATTTGTTTTAAAATACCAGATGGACAGAGTATTTTCTTTTCAAATTTTATATTAATGTTTCATGCTGTACATATAGTTAATTAATAACATCGTAATGTTCTTTCTTAGAGTAGCCAAAGTAGCTAGGCTATGTTTTTGATGAAGTAAATGAAACATCCAAGGGGCACATACGTGCTTATAGTCACCCAATGAATATTATTACCCTTTTAAAAGAATGTATTTTTTCTAATTGTAAAAAATATGCTCATTATAAAAAACTTAGCAAATTAAAAAGTGACCCATAACCATGCAATAACAGTTTTTTTTTGGACTTAACACAGTCAAAGATGTAGATGGAGACCTTTTTGAGCTCATGATATAAAGTTTTTCATTTTAAGAATTAATACTTTCGCCCGGCCAGCCATGGCTCAGTGGTTGAGTTTTGACCTAGGATCCAGGCGATCAGGGTTCGATTCCCGGTCAGGGCACATGCCCGGGTTGCGGGCTCGATCCCCAGTTGGGGGCGTGCAGGAGGCAGCTGATCAGTGACTCATCATTGATGTTTCTATCTCTCTCTCCCTCTCCTTCCCTCTCTCTGAAATCAATAAAGATATATTTTTTAAAGAAAGAATTAATACTTTCTTTATACTATAAATCTGTCAAATACAGAAAAGCAGAGGGGGGGGGAGAATATCCTATACTTCCACTCCTTAGAGATAAACTCTGTTAATATTTTGGGTGTTTCCTTTGCTTTAATAGAAACATGTACTTTGTCACAGTAATGGAGGAATTCCTCCCTCCCAAAGATACAGTACTTTTTGAAAATTCAGCAAGTTAGAGGGTGCTTTGATTACACCTAAGGTGCATTTTTTTTTTTTTTAAACATATCTTTATTGATTTCAGAGAGAGGAAAGGAGGGGGAGAGAGAGAGAAACATCAGTGATGAGAGAGTCACTGATCGGCTGCCTAGCCTGCAACCCGGGCATGTGCCCTGACCGGGAATCGAACCCCAATCTCCTGGATCCTAGGTCGATGCTCAACCGCTGAGCCACGCCTGGCAGGGCTAAGGTGCATTTCTTGTCTTCAGGAAGATAAACAACCTGGAAGCCTGCTAGCTGCCCACAGCAGGCCCCGGCCCTCTTGGTAGCTCTGAGACCTACAGGTACTCCTCTTTCTCTCTTTTTTTTTTTTCTTTTTCTTTTTTTTCTTTTTTTTTTTTGAGAATTTTCCATAAGAGTTTATTTGAGTCAAACTGACAACATATGCCAAGGAGCAAGATCTCAGATTCTCCCCTTTCTTTCATAATAAAAGTGTTTTGCTTAATTTTCTTGCCAAATGCCTGCTTTTCTTTTTTATTGAGTTATAATCAACATATAACATTGTATTTGTTTCAGGTGCACAACATAATGATTTGATATCTGTCTATATTACAAAATGACCACCACAGTAAGTCTAATGAACATCTATCACCATACATAATTACAAAAAATTTATTTTCCTTGTGATGAGAACTTTTAAGATTTACTCTCTGAGCAACTTTCAAATATGCCATATAGTATTATTAACTATAGTCACCATGCTGTATATTACATCCCCATAATTTATTTTATAACTGGAAGTTTGTACCTTTTGACCCTCTTCAATAATTTTATTTTTTTATTTTTATTCTTTAAATATATTTTTATTGATTTTAGCTAGAGGAAAGGAGAAAGAGAGAGAGAGATAGAAACATCAATGATGAGAGAGTCATTGATCGGCTGCCTAGCCCACAACCTGCATATGCCCTGACCGGGAATCGAACCCCGATCGCCTGGATCCTAGGTTGATGCTCAACCGCTGAGCCACGCCCAGCTGGGCAATAATTTTAATAAGTTTGTATCATTTGACCCCAAGCAATAACACCATTAATATCTTAGACATAGTTTTTAATCAGAATTTTTACCCTCTTAACAGAATAGCATGAGTATTTTCCAAGGGAAATACTCTAAATACACTAAATGCTTCAGAAACATCATTTAGATTGACTTACAATAGTCTCGATATGCTATAAATTATTTAAACATTTCCCCTCTGGTAAATGTTTAAGTTATTTCTAATTTTTCACTTATAATGTAATGATCAGACTTGTTGAATGTAACTCTTGGTCTGCACTTCTTTTCTTTTTTTATACTTTTAAAATTTATCTTTNNGGCTACTCCCTTGTAGGTAACTAATTGCTTTTCTCTTGCTGCTTTTAAGATTCTTTCTTTGTCTTTAACCTTTGGCATTTTAATCATGATGTGTCTTGCTGTGAGGGCCTCTTTGGGTTCCTCTTCTTTGGGACCTTCTGTGCTTCCTGGACTTGAAAGTCGATTTCTTTCCCCAGGTAGGGGAAGTTTTCTGTAATTATTTTTTCAAATAGGTTTTCAATT